AGAAGTGTCTGTTCATTTCCTCTGCCTATTTTTTGATTGGGTTGTTTGTTTTTTTGTTGTTCAGTTGTGTGAGTTCTTTATATATTATGGAGATTAACTCCTTGTCAGATATATGTTTTGCAAATATTTTCTCCCAGCTGGTGGGTGTCATGTGTTTTTTACTACAGTTTTTTTAAAAAGTAGAGAGCTGAGAGGCGGGGACTTGGAAGTATCAATAAGCCCCTTTTAATAGGGCAAGTTGTTAGGCAGACAACTCCTCTCAATACACACAAATATGTTTCAGAATCAAGCTATAGAAAACCCAGAATATAATAGAACTAAATGTTGATCAAATTTTCTGAAGGAAGAAAGATTTCAAAGCTTAGGGGAAAAAAAAAGTAAAAGATCCTCATAAAACTTTTAAATTTCTGAATAATACAAAAATTAAATCAACCCAAAATAAACTACCAACTGCAAACTAGAAAAAAGAATGTTTTTTTTAAAAAGTACACTTCTCCAAAGAGGTATTTTTATTATACAAGCAATTAATGAGAAAAACATAGAGTCCTGATAAATAGGCAAGGGCGGGGATATCAACAGAGACATCCAAAAACATCTGGTTAAACAAACGTTAAATGTCTAGGCATGCCAGACATTATGCTAAGTGTTTCCATCAAATAGAAATAAGAAAGAGGAAATGCAACTAGTAAACAAGTACATGGGAAATGTTCAGACACACTAGTAAACAAAGAAATGCAAATTAAAATGATGAGACCCATTTCTCATCGATTAAGTTTCTAAGACTAAGAAAAAGAACACGATTAAATGGATTATTATAGATTTCTGAATGGAGTATAAATTAAAACAATTGTTTTGGAAAGAAACGTGGAAATACTATCAAAAGCTTAGAAATGTGCATACTTTCGACATTGTAATTTCACTTCTGGGAAAATGAAGTTTGGAAATACACCAAAATATAAAAAAAAAATACTGTTAGTCTTTTATTGAAAGCTAGGAACAACCTAAAAATGTCCAAAATCTGGCTTTAGGTAAATTGTTCTGCAACTACATCAGCTGGACTCTCCATGCGCACTGAGATAGAGGCGTATGTATCAGTTAGGTGACTTTCTGCAGCAAGTGCCAGAAAATTCCACTTAAGTGGCTTAAACAAGAAATATGTCAAGTTGTCTGAAGATAGGGCAGTTCCAGGTTAATCTATAACTCAGTAATATCATCAGTAACCCAGAATCTTCTCTTTCTTTGTTTTGCTATCATTAGCATGTCAGTCACTTCCTTCATAAAAGCAAGATGGCTGCAGCAGCTCCCAGCATCATACCTTAAACATCACCATGTCCAAAAACTGACAGAGAATTCATTACTTCTTGTGCCCCAGAATCCCCCCAGTAGATTGTCCCTAAGAGTTCACTGTCTAGAGCTGTATTACATGCTCAGTCCTAAGTTAATCGCTGGCAAGTGAATTGGTTCTCAAAGTGTGGTCCTTGGACCAGCAGCATCAGCATCACCTGGAAACTTGTTAGAAATGCAAATTCTTGGACCCCACCAAAATCAGAAAATTTGAAAGTGAGGCTCACCAATTTGCATTTTAACAAGTCTTCCAGATGATTTTGAAGTAGCTCAATTCGAAAACCACTGACTTAGACTAACCAAAAGTCACCTCCTGGGAATGGGAAAAGGTCTAGTCTTCCCTAACGCTCATGGCCACCACATATCCAACAGCACCACAGCCTGCAAACCCCAAGCAGCACCGCCAGCCCCAGCACCTCCTCCTCCACCCCTCACCACCCTCCTACTCCAGCAGACACCCCTACTCCTCTCCTGCCCCACACTCCCCTCCCCGCTCCGCCCCCACCCGCGGCCCCCACCTTCCAAATTCTGCTTGGCCGGGGACCGCGGGTTGCATTCGTCCCTTTGGCCTCTTTTCAACTCAAGCCCAGACACACACCTGAGACCCGACTCTTTAGCGGACACGCGCCCAGGCGGGACCGCGGGTTGCATTCGTCCCTTTGACCACATATCTGAACAAAATCGTGTTCTGTCAGCAAGGAAGAAACAGAGAAACAGAGAAACGGCTGTGGAGTAGACAACCTCTGTATAGGAGAAAGCCCCTGTTCTGTTGCTTATAATTACCTGAGTCTTTTAAGGATACGAGAAAGTACGAGTAACACTGTCCCTTCCTTTCCACATATTCCTCAAAAATATTTTTAGTATTCTTTCTCCAATTAAAAAAATGTGAAAAATATTGAGTCGTGTGTGCCTTTGTGTGCCCATGCATATGTGAAAGTATTGGAAAAAATCAAGTTGCAGAAAAATCGTGTAATATAATATGTAAACAATAACAACAAAAATGAACAAAATATAAATAAGCATAGGTAGATATGTGTTTACACAAATATGAATGTATAGGGAAAGTTCTGGAAGTGTTACCAGATATATACCCAGGTTCTTTACCTGCCACACAAGAGGGGCCAAATAAAACTAGAATGCCAGGCTTATGGCAAGGAAAGAGTTTTTACTTCGGGTGACGAGAGCTCTCAAATTTATCACGTCTCCCCGAAAGTTGGGAGGCAAGGGGTTTTAAAGGTTGTGAGGAATGTGGTTGCTTGTAGGGAGGGGGAGCCTGTGGCCTTGCCAGTCAGCACTTTCCCACCAGCCTGCGTTTGGCCTTGTGAGGCTGCCAGCAGGGAGGAGGATGGTGAGATAAGGGAATCCACAGGAGGGTGTCCTTCAACCATCTCTATCTCTGTCTCTGTCTCCACGGTGGATGATGGATTCCAGTGCCAGGAAGCCAAGGAGTTGAGGTCTGAGAAGCTTTAGCTTCTTGATATCAGTTTCCCTTAACAAACCTCAAGAACTGGTAATTAGCCAAAACATCAGTGTGAGCCCAGCTTGAGGCCACCTGGGCTTTTAACAATTAGTAACTTCTGTCTGCCTTGTGAAGTTCAGGGATTTAAAAAAAAAAACCCAATAGTTATATATGAATGTAACTTAGAGAAGCAGGGAAAGAGGATGAGTGCTTTTGGTTTCAACCCCATATATTCTGGGTTTAATGTAGGGGAACTGATATCAGGGCTGGTATCAATTTCCCCTCTATTTATGTTCATTCCTCAATCTTGAGGGATTCAGGCTGATGACTGATCTAGTTACTTCCTGCTGAATTGGGGCATAGGTCCAGGTTAGAGGAATGAGACTGTTTAGCACTCATTTGGAAACATTTTTTTTTGTTTCCGGTTTCAGGTTGACATTTTGTATCATTAGAACTTTTGTACCTTGTTTAACAGCTTGGAATAACATCTAAAGGCATATTAAGTATCTGACCAAAAGGATAAGAAGTATAGACAACCCAAATTTTAACAGTACCTGAAAAATAGACTTAATCCCTTGGGGATTCCAAGAAAACAGTCCAGTTTGGACGTGGTACCTCTGGAGATACCTGCTGATAAGCGACATAGGTGGTTCCATTTCATTGAACCAGTCTCTTAGGAAGGCAGTGATGTAGGTGGGCTCCCAAAGTTAGGCCTATATTGTGTGAGTAAGTAACCAGGTATTTAATAAGAAGTATTTCTAGAGAAACAAAAAGAAAAACAAGGTTAACGATTGGAGCAAATTATAAACCAATTTCTGAGGACAGTGTGTAGCCAGTCAAAAAGATTTTTAGGTGTCAGAGTAAAAGCATCTTTTGCAGTTTGAAATGTCTCTGATGATGTCATCCGGTATTCAGGTATCTTTCTGAGTGGCTTACATAGTAACAGACATGAATCTCTCTTAAGTTTATGTTAAGTCCTCCAGCTTCAATTTGTAAGGCTTCAGGAAAAAGGGAAGATTCAGTTCTCAATGATTCCAAACGAAAAGGACAGAAAGAATTGAAAACGTTAGTTTGGAGATTTGTAGCCAGATATTTCAGGAGACTAGAAGAATTCATGATCCAGTCCAGTTAACAGATATAACAAAAATCTTAAAGACAATTAACAGAATCAGAATTTAACATCCACAAATATGTATCATAGTTTTTGTTGAAACATAATTTTTATCTCTAAAATCACCCTCCTTTTTACCAAAGATAGCCAAATTAAGACGCATTGCTTCATAAAATAAGTCTAGTTTTAATAAACTTGGCCCAATTATTTACATAAGTACAGCAAGAATAGCAACTGATCATATAGGCTCTTTTAAACCTGCTTTGCTGGAACTTTTTATAAGGAATCTCAGATTGAACTTTAAGGCCTCTCGAGGCCAGGAAAGCCAAGCCAAGGACTTGTCATCAGACTTGCCTGTAATACCTACAGATTTGGGTGAATTCCTCTCTTCTTTTGAAGTTTCCCAAAATATTGAGGTTCCAGGCACCTGTCAGATAAGTGACCTTCTTTACTTATCTGTGAGGTTGCTGTTTGGGTATGCTGTAAACAAGGTACCAGGCCAATACTTCCAAGTGGCTTTATTCCATAAAGTCCAATTTTTATTCCTCAAAAGCTGTCTGGTCATATCCAAGCCTGTATATGCTTTTTAAATATGATGTTCCAGTCAAAGCTTTGGTAATATAACCATTGTTTTTAAATGTCCTGTTATAAGAAGAACAGATTTTTATTGAACTTATGCAAACAACTATCTTGCCATGAAATAAGAACATTCACTTACTAACAGTTTTCAAATTCTGGAGGGATCAAGTAGGGAGAAAAAATAAATGCTTTAATTCTGCCTACAAAATGTACAAGTCATAGCTCCTTAAGAGAAAGAGAAAAAGTTTTCCTTAAACCTGTAAAAACCAAACCCCTAGAAAAATCAGCAATATTTCAAACATAAAAGTCATAAAAAAATTATAATCATTTTGTCAGTTTATTTAGAATTCTGTAATTTCTTACCCAGTTCAGTTTTATAATCTGAAAGTTTATCAGAAACCTGTATTTAGAGTGTCAGAGTCCTTTCCATGAATTTCTCCGAAGATGAAACATATTTTGCAAAAGTATCAGAGTAACACAGCTGTCTGTAAACAAAACCCCAAAATGGCAGTTGACAAAGAAATTTGGTTAATTTTGTGACATACAACATTTTAAAATAATAACCAGAATTATGACTGATAACCAAGACAGGTCAGAATTTTAGGAATGCTATACAATTTTAAAACACCTATATTGATAACATTCATTAACATAATATCGTAGGTTCCATGAAGTAACGTTTAGCTATCCATTTAAACAAGGTGACAACCAAAGATCTTGAAAGCAAACAAAGAAAGCCAAATAGTTAAAAAACTTTTATCTTTTATATATCTATTTAGTTTACCTGTCCTTAATAATTATAATTAGATTGTCTACAAAAGCGTCACGAGACATCAAAAACAGTTATTATAAGTCATTACTTTTGTTGACAAATTTTGTAACAAAGATAACACTTTTGCATCATATCCAATGTTGATAACTCTGAAAACATATTTATTTTAAATTAAACCAGCAATCTTAAACAGGCTTTTATTTACCAAAGATCATGTTATATTATGTTAACTTGAAAGACATCTGGGCTAGTTTCTGTTACATTTAGAAGTAACTTATAAAAGTGTTTACTCCAAGCCAAATAAATAGAGCTCCTTTAGAAACTGTACATCCAGAAGCAAACAAATACACATAGAGACAGATAAACACAGAGATTTTCAAAATTTTAGCCAGGTCTCAGGTAAAAAACTCAAAGGAATAATTAGACCCAAACTATTTTTCTAGTAGGTGGATCTGCTCAGATGGCCAAAAATGTTTGCTACAGGTTTTTGCCTTTTGCTGTAAGACCTTTTTACAGCTGTCTTTGAAATAATTTTGTCTTTTAGAAGTTTCTGTATATTAGTTAAAGATTGCATCCCACCGTGAGGGGTTTTGAATCCTCTTTTAAGAGCACCTCCTTAAGGTGGCCTTGTCTGAAACAGAAGTTCTCCAGAATGGCCATTACAATTCCAAATTATCTTAAAAGTTTACTTATTTTTTTTTTAAAGATTTTATTTATTTTATTTTTTCCCCCCAAAGGCCCAGTAGATAGTTGTATGTCATAGCTGCACATCCTTCTAGTTGCTGTATGTGGGACTCGGCCTCAGGATGGACGGAGAAGTGGTGCCTCGATGTGTACCCGGGATCCGAACCCGGGCCACCAGCATCGGAGTGCGCGCACTTAACCACCAAGCCACAGGGCCGGCCCAGTTTACTTATTTTTACTTGTTTAATTTTAGATCAGGAATTTCGGGGGGGTTGACGTAGGGAAGGCTCAGGAAGAGAGAGGAGCAGCAGATTCAGCTTTAGCTGCTGGCATGTTTAATTATTTAATTATTTTCTTTTAAAGCAGCAGTACCCTATTCCTGATCTAATGTAGAAGCCTCAAAAAAATTAAAATAGGCTCCCTGCTGGTTGTTTAACTTTGTAGCTGGCTTTTTCCAATTGTATAAGCAAATACACCAGTTTGGGTAAACTGAGATCGTCCCATTTTGTCCATTTTACAGTGAGATCTCCTTTAGTATGTTTAATTAACATTGCCTGGATTTATCTGCTCTTACAATATCAGGCAGGGGAAATGTTTTCTTTCGCCAGTGAGACACAATGTTTATCCCCATAACATAATCTATAATACAATCAGACAAAAGAGATGTAATCATTTTACACAAAGCCCATTAAATATACCAACTTTTATAAAGCATTATCTTAATTTTATCACTCTTATACCTCTAATTATCGCTTTTATTAAGATTCCGTTAACAAGTTTCAGTTTTATAGTACTGTGTAGGGGAAGCATTTCCAGCCAGACATAAGATTCATTTCCAGAAAAACACATCCAGACAAAGTTGACATAACCTCTTTACACAATATTAGTTTAAGGTTTTTTTTTTTTTTAATAATTTTATTTATTTATTTATTTTTCCACCAAAGCCCCAGTAGATAGTTGTATGTCATGGCTGCACATCCTTCTAGTTGCTGCATGTGGGACGCGGCCTCAGCATGGCCCGAGAAGTGGTGCGTCGGTGCGCTCCCGGATCCGAACCCGGGGCCGCCAGCAGCAGAGCACGTGCACTTAACCGCTAAGCCATGGGGCCGGCCCTAAGGTTTTTTAAGACTAGTCATTGTATTTTCTTTTCATAGGTATCAATAAAACAGTTGTTTATGATGAGAGCTCTCTAAAACTTTTCCAACTTAAGGATCCATTGTTTGGCCATTTTTTTCTTTCTGGAGTCTAAAGAATATTGTGGCCATGTGGTGTTACAAGAGAAAGTCATTCCTTTTTAGACATTGGCTTATAACTATAATTAGACCAATTATTCAAAATTTGCCCCAAGGGGCTTTTCCGGGGAACCAATGGTGAATTTCCCATTATTATATAAAGTTGACACATCCCACATGCACACGCAGACACAGAAACACAATCAAGCACCAGAAAAAAAACAGACACCAGCGAACTAGTTCCCAGATTTCAGGTCAAGTCCCACAACTATCCTCCCTCCCAGTGCACGCCCAGACGGTCCTATTGGACCCCAGATGGCCCTCCCACAAGTGGAAGGACCCCAGATGCCCCCTCCCACCACCCTCACCTGCCTGTCGTCAGAGGGACCCCAGATAGAGGGGAAGGAAGTTCTTGGGCATCCCCAAGGCGACTTACTGAATTTCAGATTGAGTCCCTCGACTCACCAGAAGCAAAAACAACCAACCAACCAAACAAACAAACAAACAATTCTAGAGCCTGTTTCCTTGCCATAAGAAAATGTGCCCAGGGTCAGCGGCGCCAGGTCAGACGGAAAGTACTGGGGGCAGTCCCTGGGGCAAATCACCTAGGCAGCTGCTGGACTGCTTCCCAGGAAATCCCAGTCGGCCCAGGCCGTGGAGCCACAGGCAAAGAGCCTCCTGGCTGGCTGGCCAAATTGTTACCAGATACGTACCCAGGTTCTTTACCCGCCACACAAGAGGGGCCAAATAAAACTAGAACGCCAGGCTTATGGCAAGGAAAGAGTTTTTACTTCGGGTGACGTCAGCCGGGAGCCGAGAGCTCTCAAATTTGTCCCGTCTCCCCGAAAGTTGGGAGGCAAGGGGTTTTAAAGGTTGTGAGGAATGTGGTTGCTTGTAGGGAGGGGGAGCCTGTGGCCTTGCCAGTCAGCA